CCGCGGCGTGCGGGGTCCCGGGGTTGAGCCGGGCCTCGGCGGCCTGACCCGCGCCCTCGCCCCCGCTCTCGCCCCGCCGCCGCCATGGGGTGCTGGGGCCGCAACCGCGGGCGGCTGCTGTGCATGTTGCTGCTGACCTTCATGTTCATGGTGCTAGAAGTGGTGGTGAGCCGCGTGACCGCGTCGCTGGCCATGCTCTCCGACTCGTTCCACATGCTGTCGGACGTGCTGGCGCTCGTCGTGGCTCTGGTGGCCGAGCGCTTCGCCCGGCGGACCCACGCCACGCAGAAGAACACGTTCGGCTGGATCCGCGCCGAGGTGATGGGCGCCCTGGTGAACGCCATCTTCCTCACCGGGCTGTGCTTCGCCATCCTGCTGGAGGCCATCGAGCGCTTCGTGGAGCCGCACGAGATGCAGCAGCCGCTCGTGGTGCTCGGTGTTGGCGTGGCCGGGCTGCTGGTGAACCTGCTGGGCTTGTGCCTCTTCCACCACCACAGCGGCCTGGGCCGCCACGGCCACGGCCACGGCCACGCGCATGGGGGCCACAGCCACGCCAAGGGGGCCCGCGCCAGGAACGCGCGCCTCGGCGCCGGCGCCGGTCCCGCCGGCGCGGCCCCGGGCGAGCCGGGCCCGGAGCAGGAGCACGAGCAGGAGGAGACCAACACCCTGGTGGCCAACAGCAGCAACTCCAACGGGCTGAAGCTGGACACGGCAGGTAGGCGCGGGCGGCCGCGCTGCAGGTAGTCGGCCGAGCGGGACCCTTGTCGCCGGGCGGGCGGTGGAGCCTCGGGCGCGCGGAGAAGAGCTGGGTGCATCGTGGGTCTGCGAGTAGGGCCGGGCGCACAGGTGACTGTCATCGCGCTGCGCTCTGCACTCAGCTCCCCGCTTGGCTGTCACTCGGGACTTTTCCGGTCAGAGTGTTTCCTAATTTGGTTCCTTCGGCCTCTTGGGAAACAGAGGAAGCCCCCAGGTTTCCCCAACTCCTTAGCTGTTGAGTGTGGGAAGCCTCCCTTTGCCCAAGTGGTAGTTAGGCCTATTGAAGGACTTTCATAATGATGCACTCGGTGCGTATGAATTCTAGTTCAGGCTTGGTTTATGAACGGCAGTGTATGTTTCAGTTAATTGGCCCCTAATATGAAAATCACAGGCTGAAGGACCTGTCTGGGCATGCTCAAGATTTACTTCACTTAGGACTTTCCTGGGGGCACTAACAAAAGTGGTTGTAGTGGAGTTATCTTTTCTGTTCTTGCTCTTTTTGAGACAGGGTCTCCGGCCTTGAGCTCACTTTGTTGCCCATGTTCTCCCAACTGTCCTGGCACGTCAGCCTCCACACCCAGCATGGAGTTACCTTTCTTCTTGTTCTGTAGTACCGAGGATTAAAGCCAGGGCCTTCTACCTCTGGGTTACCCCACCCCCCAACGTCTATGTACTTACTTTCTTGAGACAGGTGTCACAGAGTCTACAAAATTGTCCAGGCTGAGCTGGAACTTGTGATCCTCCTGCCTCAGCCTCCCAGGGTGCTGGGATTATAGGCATGTGCCACACTGCTGGGTATTATCTTATGTTTTTAATGGAAACTTTTCCTTTCAAACACTTGTTCTTGCAAAAAATTTGGAAAATGTTGGGGGAACAAAAAAAAAAACCCAAGAATCAACTCCTGCTACCCAGGTTCAAAGATGTTAACAAGTCAGTCTGTTTCCTTCTGCTGTTTTCCATTGATGCTTACTTAACTAGTTGTGTCATGCAGAGAGCCAGCTTTTCTTTCCAAGTTTGGGACATTAGCAGAGTTGATGTTGTGTGTTGAAAAGATTTGATACTGGCTTTCTTCTCATTCTGCGTGGCACAGTGTTACTCCAAAGAAAATTAAGCTACTCTGGTGTTTAATTCCTTTGAAAGACCAACACTTTGGACTTGAAAGTCCTACAGGTTTTAGGGCATTGATCGTTTAGGTACAGCTTCCCTGATAGTCTTTGGCTTGTCCCAAGCCCAGCAGGATGCACACAGGCCTGGGGGGAGGACACCCTGGGAGCCTTGGGAGTGCTGGGAGGATCCATCGAGCCAGCCGTACTATACTGTCTTCATTCAGGCCTGGCCACCAGGTCCTGGCTCGCTCCCAGGGTGTCAGCTCACGTCCAGGTGCTCCCCACGCACTTGCTCCAAGAACCGGTTTGCACCTTCACCACCACTTAGAGGCATCCGGCGGGAATACTTAGAGAAACCCTTGAGCTGATCTGATGACTAACTTCTATTTCCCTGTAGATCCAGAGAAACCCAGGAGTGAGGAGGCAGTGGAAGTGCAGGTGAACGGGAATCTGATCCGCGAGCCCGAGCACCTGGATGCCAAGGAGGAGGATGACGCCGCCGGCCAGCTCAACATGCGAGGCGTGTTTCTGCACGTGCTGGGAGACGCCATGGGGTCTGTGATTGTCATAGTAAATGCAATTCTGTTTTACCTTTATTGGAAAGGTCCTGAAGGGGATTTCTGTGTGAACCCGTGTTTACCTGACCCCTGCAAAAGACCATTTGTAGAACTGGTTAACAGTACGCGTGCTGCACCAGATTCTGAGGCGTGGCCTTGCTGGGTGCTGTATTTAGACCCAAGTCTTTGTGTTGTCATGGTTTGTATACTTTTTTACACAACTTACCCATTGCTTAAGGAATCTGCTCTTATTCTTCTGCAAACTGTTCCTAAACAAATTGATATCAGAAATTTGATAAAAGAACTACGAGATGTTGAAGGAGTTGAGGAAGTTCATGAATTGCATGTTTGGCAGCTTGCTGGAAGCAGAATCATTGCCACTGCTCACATAAAATGTGAAGACCCGACATCCTACATGCAGGTGGCTAAAACCATTAAGGACGTTTTCCATAATCACGGAATTCACGCTACCACCATTCAGCCTGAATTTGCTAGTGTAGGCTCTAAGTCAAGCGTGGTCCCGTGTGAACTGGCCTGCAGAACTCAGTGTGCTTTGAAGCAGTGTTGCGGGACGCGGCCACCAGCGCACTCTGGCAAGGATACGGAAAAGGTCCGGTCAGTTAGCATTTCTTGTTTAGAACTTAGTGACAATCTAGAGAAGAAACCCAAGAGGACTAAAGGTGAAAACAGCCCAGCGGTGGTGGTAGAGGTTAAGAAAGTGCCAAACAAACCCGAATCATCTTTGTGAGTTCTGAAAAGCAGGTGGTTGACTTTTGCTTTAAACTGCAAGAGGAAAAAGACCATTGAAATTCTAAGTTTGCCAAGCAGTGTACCTAAAGTCCTTGTCTGGTCACAATTAATTCTATTTTTGTAAGAACATACTGGGACTGCAGAACAGAGTTCTATATTATAACTTTGTGATTGTTAGCGCACAGTACCATTGAAAGCCAGTTTGAACACTATGTTACATTTTTGTTGAAAGTATAACCCTTATATAACAATGACTTTGGATTTCCAGTTTTCTCATGACAAAATGAGGGGGATAAATAAAATTGTTACTGGAATTTCTCTGGTTTTCTTTCCCCCATTGTTGGATTTTGTTAGAATTATAATTGCTAGATCTTTAAAATCTACGAATGTTTCCTTTGACGTTTTAAGGAATGTCTTTTTGCCCTTTGATATCATTACATAGCATAATGGCACCGTACTTTGAGAGTGACTCATGAGTGTTAGCAGGAAATAAGATCAGTTACTATTCTGTTTTCTGTGTTGCTGAGTAATAAGCAGCGTAATAATTAACAGACGCAATTATAGTTTACACATAGTAGGGCTTGAAGGGGATAAGGGGAAGAGAGAAAGTTTACCAACAATGTTGAGATCAGTATAGCATTCAGACTGCATCTCTAAATTCTGAGAACTGCAGTTCGTCTTGTTTTACCAAAGTTCATCTGAGACATGGACATATTCACCAGCATTACTTTTTCCAGAGATTGGTATTAGAAACAAAACGAACTGAAAGTGTACTCACAAAATATAATGCAGGCTGTTAACCTTTCAAGTTGTGCTGTTAAAAAAAAACCAAAAAACCTTAGTCTTTTTTTTTTTTTGTAATAATGGATTTGAACAGCTTAGAGCACAACCAGTGATGGCTGTGCATTTGCTGAGAGCTGACTTGAGAGAAGAAATTCAGATGGTTGATCAGTTTGCATATTATATTTTTAGTAAGATAATTTGAAAAGATGAAGAATCCTGACATTACTTAATTCCCCTCCCACCCCCCAGGGCTGACCTTGTAAGATGTCATAATAACCACCCAAAAATTGTTCTTGGCTATTTCATTACTGCTGTAGATTTCAGATTCAACACGTATTTAAGGATGTTAAGTTATATTTTTCTTTGAGAGTTATGCTTTGTAAAGAAAATGTAGATTTTGTTCTCAAAAGAATGAATACTGATATCAGTTATGTATAGCTCTATTTTTCTAGAAATGAGGTATTCTGACTACTTCAGTAACTTTTATAGCTGATGACTTTTGAGATGGTTACCTTTTTGGGATTTGAAATAATTCATTGCTTAATAGGTCTTAAGATAAAACTATTGGGATACGACAGTTAACTCTTTTAAAAGGGATAGTCTTTTGTGGTTAGATGGTGTGTTTTTCCCCTAATCTAAGCCTATTGCTGGCAATGGGCCTATTTAAGATGAGCTGATTTTTTTTTTCCAATGACAGTGAGGTAATTTAAGAACATAGTTTGTAAATTCACATTTATTATAATGGGCCAAAACCATCACCTGCCAATTTGCAATATATCTTAATGTTTGTATCTGATATTGTGTAATTCAGCTCTTTCACTGGTAAGTTACTTTGAATGTTTGCAAAAAAGATTGGGTCTGTTTGGTTTTTTTTTTTTTTTTAAACATGAAATTGAGGATTGTCCCTGAGAGGAGAAAAAGCTGCAAATCGTACTGTCATGTAATGCCTGGTTTAACACTTTAGTAGAATCCTAGAACAATTTTTCATATAAAATCTCGGCAACACTGTGCCAGGATGTCTGGCAGGATACATTGCACTCGGTGGGTTTTTCTTTGCAGATGCTCTCTGGGCTGTCTGAAAGGTGCTGTGTTGCCTAGGTATGAAGATGTCACTCAGGAGAGGGCAGTGAAGGGCGGTAAGCATGGAACAAGGGCCGTGGCTAGTTTTTCAAAAGTGCTTTCAAAGGTTGTAGACTTCAGGTTTTAGTTATTTCATTTTTCATACTTTGTAAGTAGCTTAGGCCGTAACAGTGGTACCGTAGGATTTTTTTTTTTTTTTTTTCAACAGACTTGGTCAGCAAAATCAGTGGGCACTGACTCACCTTTTGAGTTTTAGCAATTATTTATTTCTTTATAATGCACTTTCTAACCCATTTTTAGCTATATTAGCATTATCCTTAAGAAAGAAAGACATGTTTTTATTTAAATGTTGTGGGATTTAAGTGACTTTCACAATAGCTTATTCCTAAAAGAATATGAGGGAACTACCCTGAATCATTAGGAGACGTAAGCCCATTATTTAAGTATGCCGCTCCATGCACTGCACCAGGTTGAGGGTTGCATCCCTCCCGCTGGCCCTTCCATGTGAGCAAGGGCAGCGTAGAATGTGTTGAGAAACTTGTCCGTGGTGTCCCATTAGTGAAAAGGACGTGCTGCACACGACTGAGTTAAAACCAACTGGAAAAGTTTGCCAGCTAAGCGCAGCCTGACTGATGAGAAAATTCATTCCCCATCGTTAACTTTTCTCTTGTGTGATCCTTTTGTTCTTCCTGAAGATTATTATATTATAGAAATGTGGACTAGAACCTGATAAAATCATCATTTTGCTGAAATTAAAATGCTGAGTAACTATCCTAGAGTGTATAATTTGTATAGGGAAAATTTCCAGATGCACCTTGCAAAAAAATCACAGTGTGTAGAAGACTGTTAACATGCTTGTGTCTTGTTGTTTTGGAAAGTTTTGAGAGCAAAGACCTACGGAACCTAATGTGAAGTATTTAGTAGGCTAAGTGGTATTGGGGTGAAGAGTTCTACTTTGTAAAACAAGTTTGAATGATGAACATGTCATTAACCTGCTGTCTTAAGATATTCACACATACTTCATTTTGCAGAGTAATTCTACGCTATAGAAATATTTATTTTAATACTGACTTACAGTTGACAAAACAGTGTTAAAACTCTTGGAAAAAGGTGGAAGGGTTTTTGTTGTTGTTTGTTAAGCTGAAACTGTCACACAGTGTTTCACCGTCTTCAGAAATGGCAGTTGTAATAGCACTATTTTGATGTTGCTCTACCGATAATGTGGCGACGCTCTTTGTTTTACTAACAAGCTCTCGAATATTTAGCAGTCGTTTCACTGGCACAAAAGCCTTTTGTATGTTATTCAATTTAAACTTTTAAACCAAAAATTGTATGCTTCAGTGACTTTGCCCAAAAGATGCTGAAGGGAATGTAACATACAATGAATATATATATATATATATATATATGTATATATATATATATATATATATGACACACAATGCCATGCTATGGTTCTGCCTTGAAACAGCACAATGAAATGTATCAGTGTCTTGTGTGACTCTTTATGAGACTTCAATAATGTGTTGATCTTGTGTCTGCTCTTGCCTGCCTTTTGGGTCAGACCTGGCACAGTTAAATGCAGTTATCATCTCATTAAATGCAGATGCAGAGAAAATGTCTTAGTGCTGCAACAGTTTACCTTTTTGTATGTTTTATGACTATGTTATTTTCCAAAGCTGTTCCTACCTCACCACGAGGCTTTATGGATTGTTATGTGTTATAAATGTTCTATATGAGACAGACTACTATTGTTTCTTCTCATTTATTAAAAGTTAAGTAGAAAAATAAACTAGTTTTAATACCCACTTTGTTTTGTGCACATGGCCTCCCCTCTGCTAGGCTGGGTTATGCAAAAGAAGTGGGTTTCAGGGATTGGAAGGAAGATTGCAGTTGGAAGCTGGGTTTGGAGGAAGAATAGGATCATTAGGTATTTTGTACGTATGTACGTACATGAAACTATGTGCTAGAAGTTAGTAAATTCATGTGATTAGGTGACCCTTGGGACTATCACAAATTTAGTATCATAATTTCAGGAACTTGAACTGGCTGGCAGAGAGAGTTGAAGAATCTTGGAAAAATAGTAGTAGGTAGAAGTTTCTCCCTGCAGGAGGTATTACCAAGCAGGGTGGTTGACATTCTTCGGGGATGATGCTGGGGGTTGCGGCGCAGGTACTCATGAGAAGGAAGAGCTGGGGCTGAGGTAGAAGGTGGGGAGGACACTCCTGTGAGCAGGTGGACGGCACAGCACCGGACACGTTGGGTGGGCCAGAGGCGCTGAGAGGCATGTCCGTCCCCCCAGTTACTGAACCAGTTCCCGAACATCCACATTCACATACACCACATTTTATCCAAAGCCACACAAAGCATTTCTCTGCTCAGGATGCCGTTGCTGCAACCAAGGATATCGAAGTGCTGTTGGCCTGGTTTTATTTTATTTTTTCTTGGATATGTCAAAAAGGAAAAAAAATTCCCTGCTGGTATATTTTTCAAAAAGTGTCTCCTAACTTTCTCTAAATCATTCTGTGGTTGTAGAAAGGATTGCACATTTGAGTGAGAGGTGTTGGTGCTAGTGAGAGGTGTTGGTGCTGGAGTAGACAAAGACACACTATCAATAAAACTTTGAAAAAAAAAATCAATAAAACTTTGAAAAAAAATAAAAAGATTGCTTAAAAAAAAAAAGACAAAGACACACTGAGGAGACCAAGTAACACTACTTTTAAAGAAATTTCATAGACATTTATGAGTCTTCAGAGCTGACACTCATTTTTACCCCAGTTCCATGATGACAGCCTTGTCCCATAGAAATTAGTAATTTGTGACACTCGGGCTTGTTTGGAAACCAGTTTCCTTCTAGATCGTGAACCCTGAGGCCAGGACTGTTTTTCCACCTCTGCTCAGGCTTGTACTGTGTAGCTATTTAAAGGTGTTTGCCTGGACGATGAGGAATTGAAGGAATGGTGAGAGATACCGCAGAAGCTGAGATGCCCTGAGTGCCTGTCACGTGCAAAGCACATTGTCTTCAGTCCTTAGGAGCTACGAGGCACATCCCATTGTTTCTACTTTACAGAAAGATGGAAGTGGTAATTCACCTTACCCAAAGGTACCTTGCTGCTAACTTTGAGAACTCAGCCAGACCTGGACCGGAGCAAGGAGCCTGTTTGCCCTTCACTTTGTACTGTGTGACACTCACCAACCGCATTATGAATTCAGAATAGAGTTCCTTCTCATTTTCATCCACTGAACACTGGTAAAAACAATTTATGTCCTGAACAGTGGCAAAACCAGCACAGAAAGAAGGTTGGGGTCGGGTACTGGGGATTGAACCCAGGGCCTTTGTACTGAACTTGGTCCCCAGCCTTTGAAATTTTTAAAAGTGTTTGAGACAGGGACTCATTAAGTCACCAAATGGTCCAAGCTAGGCTTGAACTTACTATCAACCTGCCTCAGCCTCCAGAGTGCTGGGATCGTGGGTGTGACCCCAGGAAAAATAATTTTTAAAGCATTTAATATTTATCTTTAAAAATCAAAGTCACCAACTGAAAAAATCAGAATCTTTATGCCTAATTTAGACTTGGTTTAGCATCGGTTTTATTTTGAGTTATGCGGGGTAGAAAAATAACAGTCAGATTTAAATCTCTTGGTTTTAATCCAGCCATGTGGACAGTGTGAATCTTTACAAAGTAGGAATATTTTCACTTAAACTAAATCTGTAGTTGGGCGTGAAAAACTACTGCAGCAGGATAATCGTGGCTTCCCTCTTCTCAGGATTGTGCTGCGCAAGAAGGAAGGGTAAGGGAGGGACACACAGGTGAAGAGACCAAGGAGACTGGTGTTGGACCAGGCAGGAGCACTTCTGAGTGTGACAGTTCCAGTGTAGAACCCTCCATGCGCAGAGCGGCTGGGCCACTCTGGGCTCCCCTAGGCATGTGCATGCCCCTGTAGACGCCTCCTCCAGCCCAATGCCAGGACACCTCTCCTGTGGGGCTTCTTGGAGCTGAGGTTTACCCAAAGGACCCAAAGAGTACATCCGGGGGCCAGAGACGTAGCTCAGCTGTCTAAGGCACCTGCTTGGCAAGCTTCGGCAAAGCGCGGTTAGATCCCAGGCACCACATGCCGCACCAGACCTGTCACCGGGGTGGGCTGAGCAGTCCACACACACACACACAGTACATCCTGCCCCTCCTTTGGCATAGATCCCTGACATTTTGTATGAACATCACGTTCACCCTTCAGTCCAGAAATTATACTTCAGACATGTGAAGGGTTGATTTCTGAGGCTGAGTGTGCTTGACAGGGGTGACCCTTGATAAAAGTAACTGCCCAAGAGTGCAACTGTGGTCGGCAGAGCTGGTCATGGGAGCTCTTGTGAAGTGTACGGTAAAAAAATGGGTTTCCAGCAGTGTAGAAAGGGTTCAAAACCAACATCTTTTTACTATAATTCACATTCAACTACCACATCAAAATCTAGAAGAGCTGGCTGTGACTTCAAGTGGTGAAGAGGTGGAGGGCCACATCAGGCAAAGTTTATCAGAGCCCTTCGTACCCGGGAGCGAGGGTGACCTTTGGTGACCTGCGCCCGGCTCTTCTATCAGATTTTAGATTCCTCTGGGAGGTGCTTGTGGTGATACAGTATGCTTTGCTCAATCCCCTGGGGCTCAGATGTATATGCTTGCTTTCGTTTGTTTTGAGATATGGTTTTGCTATGTAGTTCAGGCTGGAATTATACTTACTACATAGCCTAGGCTGGCCTCACACTTGCCACAATCCTGCTCTGTCTCCCAACTGCTGGGCTTACAGTGCTGGAATTACAGATGTGTGCCACCATGGCCGTCTTAGTAACTATTACCAGAGTATAGAAATTCAGCTGGGTGTGGTGATACTTTCTTACAATCTTGGCACTCTGGAGGCTGAGGCTGGAAGATTGCTGTGAGTTCGAGGCTACATGAGTTGAAGACCAGCTTGAACTGTCTATAGAGACCCTGTCTAAATACATTAATAAGCTAGGAAAATTAGGTAGCATACTGGGCAGACAGAATAATGCGCACCCCCAAAGATGTCCACATTCTAATTAATCCTCAGAACCTGTGAGTACCTTTTAGGGCAAAGGACTTTGAAGACATCATTATAGAGCTCAAGAAGGGGAGATTATTGGGGTAACCCAGGCGGACCCAATATAACCATGGGGGTCCTTGAAAGAGGAGGCAGGAGAGTTAGAGAAGATGTCCTGGCTGAGTGAGAGAGTGAAGTTAGAGGCAGGGATTGTGAGGAGGGGGAGAGAGGGAGAGGGAGAAGGATCCACCAGATTTTTGTTTTCTTAGTTTTTGAGACAAAAAAACTCTATACAGCCCAGGGTAGCCTTGAACCCACTATGTAGCCCAGTCTGGCCTTGAATTCACCATGATCCTCCTGCCTCAGCCTGCTGAGTGCTGGGATCACAGGTATGTACCATTACGCCTGGCTAGATTTAAAGATGGCGGAAGGCGCCATTGGCCAAGAAGGCAGGTGGCCTCTGCAGCTCAAAAAGGTGAAGCACTCACTGTAGACAGTGTCATTCACCATCCAAGGCAGTTGTTTTTGTTTTTGTTTTTTTTCCCTCCTTACCGTTCCTTTCTTTGTCCCATTTGAGGGCCTCCAGAAGGAGCCAAGCTTTGCTGACATCTGTGTCTATTTGGATTTATTACCTCCAGAATGGTAAAATCCTGTGTCCGAAGTTGCTGCACCAGCACTAAGAAACGAATACACACTGATAAGGGCTTAAGCACTATCCTGCCTATGTGAACTAGCTGTATTTGTGATTACAAAGACTTTACCTTATTGAATTTA